AGGAAAGCGGCGTCATCGTGGATGAACAGAACCCTGCGAACACGGCTCTGCAACTACGTCTGTCTCCACCAACGCATCATCGATACTGCCCTTCGCTTCACTACATCCCGGAGGCCGGACTAACGTCATGGCTTGACGACACTTCTTCAGTCTGCAACATCTACCCCATGCCTGAACTTTCTGTCCCACTTTTGGAGAAGCATTATCCACAGCAGATACCTTGAGAAGGGATAGTTGACGCTGCGGCACCAAGTCGACTTCCAGTTCTACTGTCCGCGCTTCGTTGCACTATCGGCCTCCAAAACTGTCGTCACCAAGACGTCGCTCGGGCCCGAACCGCACCTTCGGCTCGCTTGTCGCGAAGTTCTGCGATCCTCTCCGCCCCCACAACAATAGACGTACGTCGGACGAACCCTCCCAGTTATATCGATTGACCGGAGGTCCGGCTCATCGCTACCTCCTCACCTTTTCCCACAACCTACCGCGTGTCCAACTCTGTCCGAGCTGACACAATGGTCAAAGCACCTGTTGTGATCACCCGTCGGGAGGGGATATCAACCTGGAACTAACCCTCGATCCACACTCGGCGCCAATGGAAAGCTCCATCCCCTACTCGCTAATTACTACAAAGCCTCCACGACGAAGATGACCCCCGACCGAGGCCTACCCTGCCAACCTCTCCATCCTCCGCGAAATGCTCTCTGTCCTCGACTACGTCGACCCCTTCAAGGGAACCGTCAGCCAACATACTCGGGACCTCTGCATCTGTGCTTTCTTCTTGCTTCTCCGTCCCGCCGAGTACCTCGACACAAGCAATCCTGGGGCCCGTACAGCCAGGCCTTCTCCTGGAGGACATCACTTTCACCATCCTGGTCGCTATCAAAGTCACCGCTGACAAGATCTCTTTGAATGACGTGTCTACCCCAGTCGCCTCACCGGGCTTCGCTGACATTCACTGACAAAAGAACGCTGTCAAAGGCGAGTCCGTGGGCCATCGTGCTACCTCTGACCCATGGCTCTGTCCTGTCAAATCCCTCGCCCGTCTCGTCCGGCACATCCGCATCTCACTCTCAACGCTCAAGGCGACGGCGGCCGAAATCGCCGCTACTCCGCTCTACAAACACTATAACTCCTCCACAAGAAGTGGTACCACGTCAAACCCCAAGTTCATCACGGATGCCCTTCGAGTTGCCGCAAAGCGGCTCGAACGGACTACCGGAATCTCCCACAAGAAGGTGTCCGCTCGCTCCCTTCGTCCGGGCGGCGCCACCTGCTCTCCTCTGCGCCCACGTGGACTCTGATGCCATCCGCCTCCTCGGTCGATGGAAGTCAGACGCCATGCTGCGCTACCTCCGAATCCAGGCCGCCACCATCACGCACCACTACTCCCAGAAAATGCTGGCCCATGGTGCCTACACCTTACCAGGCGGGAACCTACGACAAGTTCCTCCCGCCTGCTCAGGCGCCTGCTACTATCGCAGAGATCCTCCTTCACGCGGAACTCTACGAAGGACTAACCTCCCTTAGTCCCATTTCCCAGAGAGACCTTGCCTCCTCTCGGTCTCTCACCTTTCCCACCCCGCTACGCTCCCACCCTGTTCTGCCTTTGGCTATTTGGTTGGCCGAATGTCGCACAATCACGCGGGACTCACATCCCGCGGGACTGCCTCATTCGTGCCTTGGTTCCCGCTCGGGATTCTAGCAATCACGAGCGGCACCCCTGGGTTGCGGAGACGGTCGGCTCAGTAAATGGCCGAGTCTCTCCACCACCCTATCCTACTACTCTACTCAACTAGTCGTGCTGTGCTGCTCTAGGCGAGCCGCTTGTCGGCGCTCGTTGTTGAGCAGCCGCACGCAAAGAAGACAAACGATCCCGATCCCTATCCATCCACGCTGACCGGCGTGGAAACCTGAACCCTCATGGGTTCTTCGATGAATGACTCGACTCACAGTTGCCAGACTGGTACCATCTCACAAAATACGAATCTACTCCCACACTTCGCTCACACACAACAAGTACATCTCTACACTCCACAGGTCATCACCTGCGTTCCTGAAATGGATACCCCACATACATGTTCGATTGCCACTGCCTTTTCGCAAGATCCACTCTAAGGCAATAGCACCCCACGAAGACCGCTCACAGATAGCAACCTTGAATGAACACAACACGCAAGACCGTTCCAACTCTCTCCTTCAGCAATTGAACAGTCGATCGCAAGAAAGTTGTCTCCTTCTCTGCTCACAATTCTTCTTCAGCCGAGCTGAAGCTAGAACTAGAATAGATTAACCCACCTCTCCCTCCCTGGGTTGGCCGAATGTCGCACAATCACGCGGGACTCACATCCCGCGGGACTGCCTCATTCGTGCCTTGGTTCCCGCTCGGGATCTAGCAATCACGAGCGGCACCCCTGGGTTGCGGAGACGGTCGGCTCAGTAAATGGCCGAGTCTCTCCACCACCCTATCCTACTACTCTACTCAACTAGTCGTGCTGTGCTGCTCTAGGCGAGCGCCGCTTGTCGGCGCTCGTTCCGGAATGACTGAGACTGCACTGCCACACTGACACCACCAGCAACGGCAACAACAAACAACACAAGACGTACGGCACAATCGTCTCGACCATGACCACGAGGAGACAAGGGCTAAAAGACGATAGGAATTGTGGCTTGGGCGTATTTGATACATTTAGGCATTTCGATCTGCTTGATTAGCTCATGCCGACGATGAAACCTCCCTGCTGATCTGTTGAACGGAAGACGCTCCTGCTGCCGCTGCTTCTAGCCCTGCAAACAAGAGGAGCCTGTCATGGTGGAGCAGGGCTACGAGTTATCGGACTAAAAGGCACACACGCAATGCATGAAGAGCTTAGATTTTAGCTGCTGTTACAAGAGCCTGCAATGGTCACTCGCTCAGGCTGGCTCAACGGCAACTCGCTCACAAGAAAATAATATGTAAATGTGCAAACATGAAAGTGGGTCTTCTGAGCTCGAGGGGAAACTCGTCCTCTCGGCTTTCAAACCACCGCCATGGTTCTTATAGTCCACGTCCACTCTCCAAATCATCCACCGGCAACATCGCCTCTACGTGCCTGCTGAAGTCTCGGGCTCGCCTCAAGGCCGTGAATTGCTGGCGTATCATTTTTTGTTGAAAGTAGATATCCACGGAGTCCATCAACAAGCCCGTCAAGAATACAACCTGCATTAGATATGAAGTGTAATCAACCTCCGTCGTGACGCCAACGAAAATGTAGACGATCAATCGTTGGATTCGCTCCATCGCAAAGGCGGCTGCGGACACGAAAGGCAACCCTGTCATCTTCAACTGTGCCGACATGTAGGGCCCAAACAAATAACGCACTGTCATCACAATGCTCAACCAAATAGGAGACGCCAGCCACAGCATAACGCCCAAGGTCCAATTCTCGTCCCACACCTGGTCTTCACTGGGAAAGAGCGTCCACGACCCAATGGTGAAAAACGCCAAGATGTGATGGATTAGGTAAAAACGACGATAGTCCACCACCAGATCTTCCCAACAAGGGAGAATAAATATCATATCCATGAGGTATCTCCCCAGCACAAGGGCTTTCCAGTAGTCCACGAAGACTTCATAACCCACGGCATAAAGGATGGCGTAGACAATCGACTCGAGGATAGAGGTCGCATAGTGGGCACATGAAATGGGATCTCGGACATATGGTGCCAAAATCTTGATGGCATGATAAACCACCAAGCAGGCGTTGGCGACAACGGAAGCATACAACACAATGCTTTCGGCGTTACCCGCCCCAGAGGCCACCAACGTGATCACGTACCAGGCACTCGCAAGCACAGAAAGGCCGGCAAACAACTTGCGCTCCGTCGACCATCCACTTGTGAGGTCTTGATCTGTGACGTCAGATTCATCAAACGTAGTGTCCGCCATTGGAAGATCAGGGGATCCTTCCTTGTTTTGGGGAACAAAGATGCCGTCGTCGGTCCTCGTGCTTGCATCGCTACTCTCTATGGCTTTGGTAAATGAGGTTTCGCTGGCCTCCTGGGTTGACACCTTTCCTGCCGCTGGGTCACTGGGCAAAGATTCAGGAACTACTGTGGCGGCTGCATCTTGGGGTCCTTCGTTAGACACGTTGTGCTTGACGCGCAAGGAAACAACCACGTCCACCAGGTCTTGTACCGTGAAGTCCTCGTCGACTTCTTGGGGTTTGAAGTCTCGTGCACCCGTCTCTTCATAGATATGGTGCACTACTTCCATCAACGACAACGAATCCAAGCCGGTCGCTTTCAGGGCAAGAGTGGGATAGTATTGCTCTGGTTGACCACCCAGTACATTCGCCAACATCGATTGCGCATCAAGCAACGTGTAGGGTCCACTCCTGACTGAAGTCCCGCCTGATTTGGTCATCCTGGGCTTCAGGTTGTATATGGAAACAACGCCATTGGAAGACTCGGATACTACCTGCTCGATTCGGTTAAGGACATCAGAGATGGGCATGAGCTAGTAGTACAAGGAAGCAAAGGAAGGAAAAAGAAGAAGTGTCAACAACAGTCCATGCTAATGGAAATTGGAAGAAGGATACAGACATATAAGAAGACTTACTTCAAACGGTGACAGTTCCAGCACACGGCGATTACTCTCATTCTCAACGACGTAGCCGACGTTGTCCAAAGTGCCCAAGCGCACCGTCAGCGTATTCGGATCGCGACGAGCTGCAGCATCCAAGCTTGAATTGGCAAATGCGTAATTGGTTTGCCCCACATTTCCAAAGTAGCCACTGACAGAACTGATGTTGACCAAAGGAGTAACGGGCCAACATTGGCGCATGTGGTGGTAGCCCTCAACCTTGGTTCGGACAACATCATCCCAATGATCATCAGTCATCTTGGAGAATGTCACATCACGGTATACAGTGGCCACGTGCCAAATCCGATCAGGCTGAAACGTGCACATGTTGGGGGTTAGGTCTACCACACTGGCTTGTAGAACATGTACTTGGCATCCCAAAGCCTCCATCTGCGAAATTGTGAATCGTTGGACTGAATTGGTGACACCCCTGCGACCGACCAACAGAAATTTCCTACTCCCATGGCACGCAAGACGAAATGCCAGTGCCATTCCAAGACCACCCAATCCGCCCGTAATGAGGTGGCTTTCCTTCCAAAGTGTCAACGGCAAATGGCGGACTTGGAACTGGTGGAGGTTCTGGATCACGATCTTTCCAATGTGCCGTCCCTGGCTCATATAGCGAAAGGCGGCGACAATCTCGCTGGCATCAAATGGAGTGGTCGGTAGGGGGGCGATTTCCCCTTTACCGAAGCCTTCGCTGAGCCACTTGTCACCAAACGACTTGAAATCTGGGACGAGTAAAAGATCGATGACATGGAACGAAACATTCATTGCCAATAAACCTTGTCCGAGTGGGCTGTTATTGGCAATGTCATACTTCCCAATTTCACAGAATTGGCCTCCTGGTGCCAAGCAGCGCAAGCTTGCAATCTGAAGGTGACCTGCCAGATGGTTGATTACAACGTCGACACCACGACCAGCTGTACCATCGAGGACTGTGTTAACGAAGGCATCACACCTGGAGTCTCCGATCTGCTCATCTTTCAGGCCGAAAGTCTTCTTTAAGAAGTCACGCTTGGGGGCACTGCACGTCGTGAATATCTTCAATCCACGCTTCTGTGCCAAATTGATGGCGGCCATGCCGACTCCTCCTGTTCCAGCATGAATAAGGACACTCTGGCCCTCAGTCATGTTCGCTTTTTCAAACATTGCGTAGTAAGCGGTCAGGTAGACGAGGGGAATCGTGGCTGCCTCTTCGTCGCTCAGGTATTCAGGAGTGGGATAGGTGTACGTGGGGTCTTCAATCAAGCAACGAGAGTGCTGTTAGGAACAAGAACACGAAAAGACAGTCGACCAAGGCTGTCGGCATTGCACTTACAACAGTAGCTTGCAATTGCACCCAAGCTCAAACCAAACACACGTTGTTTCTTCAAAATATGAAATCCACTAAACTCAAAACCAAGGGAGAGATTTTGTTCCTTCAGCATTCCCATTGCTCTCATGATATCACGGAAGTTAAGAGAGGCAATGGCAACCTTGATGGGATACATTTCCGGATGAATGGGGTGCCACTCCAAGGAATTTAGAACGCCAGGCTTTGCGATTCGAAGCTGCGCAGACGACGTTGTCATCATTTCGGACGTCTCATCGTCGTGCTGGACATCCACCCACACCCCATGCTGGCACTGATGCTCGCTTTCCAGGAGGAAATTTTGACGCATACCCTTCTCTAGACCCACCATCGTAGGCATCGAAGAGCTTGGGTAGCTCAGAACTTGTTGGTTTCTTTCCATGAAGAGACTGGCAGCTGCCCCAGCCGATCCATCACCCTTCCAAATGAAAGGGTCTGACTCCGGAACACTCTTCCACTCATTGACAACCTTCATGGGCGGCACAAGACCAATGCGGTACAAGCGGAGCTCTCCCCATTTAGCCACAAGGGTGCATTGCACCGTTGCCTTCTCCAAAATGCTTGCAGCAGTGACAAGGAGGCTCGCGTCCTCGGTGAAATCATCAGAGAAAACAAGAGTAGTACATGTGTCGGTTTCTTTCGACAATGGATACTTTCGCATGGCTTGAAGGACAGCGTCGAGTTCAGCGGAGACAATAGGGTGAACTACAGAGTACTCTAGGGACTCTCGAAGCAGTACCGCTGCCGCAATGGCGGGTTCAAGGGCACAGTCAGATTCCCTGTATTCCACAAAGGTTTCGGAGTACACAGCTGGTGGTCTCGGGATGACCCTGGCAAACTCTTTGCGGTACCCTTCAATTGTCACTGCTGTGTTGCCCACAGAGTTGTATCCTTGGACCTGAAGCCACCGATCTGCGCTCTCGAGATTTGTTTTCCAGAAAACAACTCGGTCTGCTCCTCGAGGAAAAGACACAGCTTGGTCGATGTCGAAGGGGACGACGTGATCTGCAGAATAATCCGCTGGAATGTCCCGTTCGGTAGCGCTAAGTTGTTGAAAGAAGCTGCACAAGGAAATGCGGTGAGACCACGAAAATGCGCCGCTTTTTGGCAACCACACACGTAAAGCACTCACGCATCAACGTATGCAATGAAATCAGTGACATCAGTTTTCAGGGTTGAATAGCCGCCTGTTATCTTGTCCAGTAAACGATACTTCGGCCCAAAGTTGTCACTGCCCGAATACCAATATTTGGAATCGAGCGATTTGTCAAGCGCCTCTGTAACCTTTTCTGGGGAAAGCTCAGAGTTCAGACGAGTTCGGGGCGTTTCAGCTGGACGCACATGGCCGCTAGCGTGACAAGTTTCATTGTCCGCATCCCAAACCTCACAATACTGGCCGGTGCAGTGAAGGAGAAACCTCACCTCCTTGTCGCCCTTTGGAATGACTGAAGGTGCAATAATTCGGAAGTCTTTGATTTCGGTGCATTTCTCGTAGCTGTTCGCTGACCACAGCACATGCAGGAAGCCCGCGGCCGGGAAGAGGTTCTGGCCGCGTAATGTATGATCACTGTGGTGAAATGTTTGGAAAAGCGGAGGGGCGGTGCAATCGTTAATAACTTTGCATAGACAAGTAAAGCTAGGCCGCAGCCGACCACTTACCGAATTGAAGACCAAGGTGATTGACTCAAGTCATACGAAACTTCGCTCACTGTGCTGAACTCTTTCTGGAACTTCTCGAAGCTAGTCCACTTGGGAAGGGGAAACTGAGTGTGCCGACCCCAAATTTCCGGGTATCGTTCACTGTAATGAAGGGCACTTTCCCCAGTGGGAATCTCCTCAGGGAGAGTTTCCGTCTTTGACATCCACGGCTTCAAAGGAGCCATTGCCTTTTCTAGATCAACTGGCTGCCCAGCTCGAATCAAGGAAATGAGCCCAAGATCCTTCCGAGTTCTCTTGATCTGAGAGAGTAATCCACTTGCTGGTCCAATCTCAACAACGGTTGCATTCGGTGGCAGCGATTCAATGGCATCGCAAAAGAAGACTGGACGACAAATGTTGTCAATGAGATAGTCTTTACCAAAAGTGTTACTGCGACTGGTTGTTTTCCACGAGACTGGCAACGGCTGAGGGTCGATGTTCCTGAATCGACTTCGCAGATAGCCTCGGAAGACCTTCAAGTAGGGTGCATGATAGGCAATATTGTCTGTGTCGATGGAACGTACGAACAAGTTGGAGTTCTTCCCCGTGAGGTACTTGACGAGCTTGTCAACTTCGGCTTCCGGGCCACTAATTGTCTGCCCTTTGGGAGAGTTGTAACAAGCCACACACGTCTGTTCAAGAGCAAGCTCGCTGATGCCTGCATCGATAGCCTCTGCCTCACATCCCACAACAACCATCTTCCCCGCCATTGGATACGAATCGATTATGTCTTCGTGGTAGGGACCATCTGCAGGCACCTTTCGGACATATTGCTTACCGCCGGAGGAGAGAACTATCTCATAGTCCCAACCATCTATGGGGCGAGAACAATACACATCAAGACGGGCCTGCTTCTCAATCAGCTTCACCAACTCGGCGCGGACATTGGCAGCAAGTAAGACTTCGGCTTCAGTTTGCAATCCAGCCAGATATGCGCATGGAAGCTCTCCAAGGGAATGCCCAAGGAAGTGGTCGGGTCGGATGCCTTGTTCTGCAAGAACTGCGATGATGCCCAGTTGAAAGCTGGTGATGCCAATGGCACTGTTGAACTTGAGAGTCCACTGTGTACCATCTTCATACAGGGGAACAAGTGGGATACCCGTCTCGTCTTGCAGGCGCTCCATAGTGGACCGAAAGACCGCTGAACTCTGAATCAAATCTTGGCCCATGTTGTTCCAGTGAGAACCCTGCCCGTCACAAACAAAGACAAGTGGAGAGTCTCCAACGCGCCAATCACCGGCCTTCCACTCGTACCTAAAACCTGTTCCATTCCCTAGGGCGCGCTGAACTGCATAGAAGTTGGCAAGACCTTTGGAAGGCACCTCGCCAGGTGCAGATAAGAATGGGGTTCCATCCAAGCACTCCGACAGCTTCACGACCTTTTTTCGCTGAGGACAAGGCTTTAGGATAGCGAAGGCATTGGATCCACCGAAGCCAAAATTTGAAACCGTCGCGACTCCTGGCTTCCAGGGTCGAGCATGATCAAGGACCAAGAACCGGCCATTTTGAATGACCTCATGGGGCGACTCCTGGAAATCATGGTTGGGATAAAGCATCTGATCTTCAAACATCAAGAGGATCTTGATGATACCCATCAACCCGGAGGCTGCCTCGGCGTGGCCCATGTTTGATTTGACGGATCCAATAACAAGCGATTGATTGTAACGCTTTGTTAATGCTGTTATTTCTTCTTGATCTCCAGCCGCCGTGCCTAGTCCGCGGGAAGAATGTGAGCGACGAACGCAATCGATTTTTGACCAAAAGCTGGACAAAGCCTTACCAGTGCCATGGGCTTCATGATATTCGACGTCACTCGGGTCTACACCGCTCCTTGCGAAGACCTCTGACATAAGTTTGTACTGCATTTCCTGGCTCGGGTAAGTGATACCTGCAGTAGCGCCGTCTTGGTTGGTGCCACTGCCAAGCACTTGCGCATAACCTGATTCACCTCGCTCGAGAATAACACAACCAATCCCATCCGCCCTGCAATAGCCGTCTGCCCGACTGTCGAACACATGACAATGTCCCGTGGGAGATAGCATTTGAGCCTTGACAAGAATCACATTCTTGCAGTGGTCTAGAACAAGCGAGACACCACAGACTATGGCTCGTTCAATGATTCCAGCCTCGATATCCTTAGCCGCCCGGTCCAAGGCAATCAAGGAAGACGAACAAGCTGTATCCATCGTCATGCTTGGGCCCTTGAGATCATAGTAGTAGCTGAGCCGGTTAGCAGCCATGCAATGAGCTGTTCCTAGGATCTCATAACCATTGATTTGCTCCTTTGCAGCCCTGGCACCACCTTTCATTCTATTCCGATTGGACAAATACAATACTCGCAGTGAGTTACCGCTGGAAGAAGACAAACATTTGGATCAAACAACTTACGAGGACATATCGCTGAAGCAATGGCCTGTGTAAACCCCGGTCCTGCTTCCTCGAATGCTCTTAATGTCAATCTGAGCATCCATGAGGGCCTCGTAGGAAACTTTCAACAGAAGCCGCAGAGCTGGGTCCATCCTTTCCGACTGTTTTCGGCTCATGCCAAAGAACACTGGATTCATCTCGGTTAGGTCGTTGTCCTTCAAGCGGCCTTGGCGAGGCGGAAGGCCATGCAAGCCATTTGGATACCGCGTATCGGAGGTGGTAAGATCGTGGCCCGCCTTCAACGCGTCGGCGAACTCTTTGACCGAAGAGCAGTTTGGCGCCCGAAGCGAGTACCCAACAATAGAGACTGGAGTTGCATCGCCCATGTCGTCGATGAGCTTGTCAGACGCCGGTTCCGTGCTTTCAATGGTCCGTAAGTATTTCGAGAATTGCAATCGCTTTTACCTTTGTGGCTTTCCAATTTTGTGAGAGATCCATGGTTGTCAAAGATCGTTCGCAGCTGCTTGAACGATCCTGGACCGGTTCCGTACGATCGATCAGAGTTCGATTCCCAGTCGTGGTTTTTTCTTATCATTTCAGGGGGTCGACCTTTAGTTGCACGACAGTATTCAGGATCCAGGAACGCTACCGGTACAGTACGACAAAATGTGGATGGTGGAGCGTACATTTTGGCTAGCTGCTAGTAGAGGGCATATTGCGATAGCTATTGCGATGCAGAAGCAAGGCTGTTCGCAAGGTACTAATAGAGTACACCACTGTCTTCAAATCTATAGAGTCGACTCATCACATGTACGACTCTGTTTAGTTAAGCAAAGAAGGATAGCTTTCGCTATCCAGGAACGCTATTAATACCCATACATGTAGGTACAGCACGTTTACGGAACAAAGATTTTTTATTGTGTAGACTAGTTAGTTGTTGGTACAGTACGTACGGTACCTGGTACAGCTGTACCGGTACATGTACCAGCACTATGTACCGGTACTAGCTAGTACTAATAGTACGTACCGGTAGACGAATGACTGTAAGTCACGGCTGAAATTACTGAACGCACACTGGCCCCAACGTATAATCCCACACCAAAGGGTTGAGTTTGCACTCCAACCACTACTACTAGCTAGCTAGTAGTAGAACAGACAAGCCATGAAGGCGCCATGTTCGGCTCGTAGTCCAGGTGACTTGCCACCGCGAGTTTTGACGCGTCGCCAGGTATATGGCGAATGCCCAGACCAGGTCCAATTCGTTGCAGTTAAACGTGGTCATGGGAAACTCATAGCCACCATGCATCCAACAGGGTGTCCTGATGTTGCGTAGAAGAGTATCTGGGGTGGATAAAAGACTGATTGTGTGGATATTTCTCGAAAATGTGAGCTTGAAGGGCTCGGCTCGGCTTGCTTTCGGAACGGCAGTACAGTACGGTACGTTGCCGATTTTTGTGAGTACCGTGTGAGTACCGGTATCCGGTTTCAATAAGTAGCAGTACCGGTACATGTACACTGCGTTAAAGAATTAAATCCGTGTGACTCGACTCTGCAACAGTTAAAACGATATCAGGACTTACAGGAAGGGCGCTTGCTCGTTCCACGACCGCCGTCTAACTAGCTAGACCACAAGCAGCTGATGGCGGTACGGTACAGCGTAGCTTGTAGCTCAGGTCCAGGACCGTCCGACGTTTTTCACTCAGGATTTAAAAAATATTGAAATTTCGCATGACTGGAAATGGTTTGAAACAATCCCTTAACTATCCCCTAAATCTTCAACAATCCCTTAAACAATCCTTTATCAAACAATCCCTTAAGAAACAACCCCTTAAACCTTCGAAACAATCCCTTAAGCCTATCGCCATATGCCATGACACAATCCCCTATCAGGAGCAAACAATCCCTTATCAAACAATCCCTTAACAAACAATCTTTTAAATCTGCAACAATCCCTTAAACAATCCCTTAACAAACAATCCCTTAAACAATCCCTTACACCTTGGGAGTCAGTCGGGGCAATTTTAAATCCTGAGTGAAAAACGTGGAACGGTCCAGGTTCCAGGTTACCGGAGGTAGGTGACCGTCTTTGTTTCGTCGAAATCGTCCCAGGGAATGTGTCGGCGCTCTCGATGTACGGTAGTCAGCAACCGTGTCGGCCGATCGCGATAACAACCTCCAACAGGCTCATCTTCCACACGTACCGGTAGCCACTCTTGTGCGTGCTGCGACCCTGTCAATCCTATGAGTTCCAGTGAAACTCAGCTGTAGATGCACAAGAGCTGGGGGTGGAGACCTCTGCTTGATGGAGATCCCCATCCACTGGCACCGGGAATGAGGCTTCCAGGCAGCGAAAGTTGATGGTGTCACGGAAGATCTTGTATGTCTGAATTTGTGCTGGGCGTGCTGTAGTTTATGTGTGGTTGAGTCATGCGCTCTACTGCAGTACCGTACATGTAATTGGGGTTCTTGGGTTAATTTCTTCTCAAATTGACACATTCTCTGGTCATCATAGTTTCTTTATCACAAGCAAGCCAAAAGACTGTTATCGTCGTCGGAGAGACTAACTAAACAAAGAAAGAAAAAAATCAATCCAAGTGAACTAACGCTGAGAGAATACGAATTGGCGGATGCGCCACGGCTGGCAAACCTGTCAAAAAACAAGAACAGTTCTCGATATATGGAACGACTGCCATATCCGTATACCCTAATCTGCCCCAATTGCAACAATGTTAACATCCACGAGAGACTGAATTGAGCGGATAGGGCAATGCGACAATACCATTGTGGATTGATTAATCTAACGATCTAAGAGATGTAAAGTTTGTATTTCCAAATAAGTGAGCAGTTATTGATTATTTTCTAGAATAAGCCTGCTAATTGTAAAGCTGTAAAGCTGAATTGTAAGCTGTATCCCGTCGCACTCCCTTACAGCTGAAATGAAGCTGGAGCAAGAAACGATAGGAGAGAGTCCCCAGCAAAGTGCTGAGGTAAATTACCATCCCATGAGGAGCTTCCGAATGACAGCAAACTGTGGAGCCGGAAGACCCTTAGTGAAAATGTCGGCCCGTTGTTCAGAGTCGGAATATACTTAGCCACGATGCCCTTCGACTCCCGATATTGGACCTGAAGAAGTGTACTTCATGCCAATACTTGTTGCGCGCAGAATTTTGGGAACATTCACAAGGACAGGCACCTTTGGTGTCCCTTTTCCGAACACTGTAGAGCGCACGAGACTGTCAGTAATTACCGGATATTCAGTTTGCTACCATTTCTTTGAGCAAAGCTCGCATAGGAAGCAGCTCCCTCATTGACATGCTGAAGGCAAATATCAGCAGCAGTGGAGCTCAAAGTAATATCAGTCTGTAGCTTGCTGGACCAGATAATGGGGCACCAAACAGAGTCAGACAAATCCAGTGCGAGACTTGACGGACACAGGATCTTGTTCATCCTCATATCCATACAATCCGGCGAAGTCAGCACGACCCAACAGTCAAGGTCCTGATCAAGTTTAGGGCTAAAACAAATGCCTTTGTCACTTGTGCCAATCAGATACCGGATGATACGTTTATTGCTTGAGCATGGGAATGCCTGGGATTGTGACTGAATCGTGCCACCTGGTGCACACTAAATGTGATGTCTGGGCGAGTGTTCGACGCAATATAAAGAAGATCCCAACTGCAGCTGGATAGCTCCACCATTCTTCAAATGGGGCCCCAGTTTGTCAGCTCCGAGAGGATGGTGGCGGCAGGAGAAAGCTTCTTGCTAGCGTCAGACC